GAATGCTGGGTAATCAGAAATCATCCTACCTCTATTATGTAATAACAACTACATGAGGTTAATAAATAACCTACTAGGAAGATGCATGTTCTTAACAATGCAATTAAATCCTATTCCTAGAAAGTGAAAAGTTAGACCTGAAAACTCTGGTTAAAAAAACAAACTGCAAAGTTTTTTACCCAAATTCTTTTGAAATATTGCATTTAATATATGGGGACCCATCTGGTAAACTCTGAAACCAGGAATTTATTTTAATTCTACTTTAAAAACTTTAATCACTTGCAACTAAACCCAGACTAATGGGAAGAAGACATATTTATATATCTCCTTAGTATTCCTTTGACCCAACAGTATTATCTAAGGGTTATTTCTGATACAGTCCTATTTAAATACCTATTGAACTTTCATAATGCTCAATGGCAACGTTTAAAACATCACTTTACATAGAACTCTATGATGGCAGCTTAATATTCATCTATTGCTAACACACTGTGGAATACACGTGCCGAGGTTAGCACTGCAGCAAATACAAAAGATGTCTTAACCATACATATTGCCCTGAAGCAGATCTTCATAAATCTTCAAAGTCATCTTCTTTAATCAGGTATGTATACAGTGTTTGATATGAACAGCATACCAAACAGGGCAGCAAAATAATAGACAATGTTTAAATTTTAATCATTAAGGATGAACTTGATACTCAAGAAAAATAATTGGTCACCTTTAGAGGATGCTAGCAATCAAGTCATTATTCTGAAAACAAACAGAAAGAATCAAAGTTTAGGGCTTCCCTGGTGGCGCAGTGGTTGAGAATCTGCCTGCTAATGCAGGGGACACAGGTTCGAGCCCTGGTCTGGGAAGATCCCACATGCCGCAGAGCAACTAGGCCCGTGAGCCACAACTACTGAGCCTGCGTGTCTGGAGCCTGTGCTCCGCAACAAGAGAGGCCACGATAGTGAGAGGCCCGCACACCGCGATGAAGAGTGGCCCCCGTTTGCCACAACTAGAGAAAGCCCTCGCACAGAAACGAAGACCCAACACAGCCAAAAATAAAAAATGAATAAATTAAAAAGAAGGTTCAACATTAAAAAAAAGAATCAAAGTTTATTTTGCCTGCCTTCCCTTTAAGGAACTGTCATCAAATAACTGATGAGGGGACATTTCTCTATATATGTTCTACTCATAAATAAATAAATGATAAAATCTGAATATCACAGTTTTGCAAACTCCTAATTAAATAATTAATGCATATAGGCAAAAGTCACTGATGGCCAAGACACTCATTAATTATTCTAGCCTCCAGCCGCCAAGCAGAATGTGAATCAATCAAGTCTCTAGATCTGCCAGTTTGCAGACACCAATAGAAGTAACAATTAAAATCAAGAGAATTCAACCAGCAAAACCCAGACTGAGGAAATTCTAAGGTTAAAATCTGGTTTCTTCAACAAATAAATAGAAGGGATAAAAAGTGTGGTGAGGAGGAACCCATAGATTAAAAGACTTAACAGACAAATTTTCAGCAAAATACAACATGTATGTTTTGTTTAAATATTGTGTCAACCGAACAGTAGCAAAATAAGAACATTTATGAAGCTACCAGGAAAGTTTGAAAACCAACCAGATATTTGATGATTTAAAGAATTATACTGAGATTATGTTTTTAAGAGGAGTTCTTATAACAAAGATATATTTTAAAATATTTATGGATAAGATATGTTGTCTGGGATTTGCTTTAAAATAATTCAGGGGTAGAGGGAAGGGTAGTGGAGGGTTCTACATGAAACATCACTGAATATGAACGGATAGCTACTGAAGCACAGTAACAGATACAAAGGATTCAGTACAGTATCCTCTCTATTTGTGCCTGTTTGAAATTTTTTCAAAATAAAAGCTTTAAAAAGAAAGATGAACTAAAAAGTTCTATATGATAATCCATAGAATAAGGACAAAAAAGCTCCATGTCCCTCAGAGGTCAAAATAAATGAAAATCTTATGGTGAGTTAGACAAGAATTCTCCTTGTATACACACTACTACTTGACAAACAAGAAAACTGAGACCCAAAGAGATAAGTCTTGCTCAAGGTCAAAAAACAAAGCAGCAACAAAGCCAAAACTAGACTGCACAATTGCAAGCCCAAAAAGAGATCTTAGTTGGAGCTAAGTTAAGAGAAGATCTGAGCAGTCCTGAAGTAGTCTGAAAGCCTGTCAAAAGTACAAAAAAAAAGTCTTAAAAGTTAGGAGAAAAAAAGAAAGTCAGGTGGTTTGAAGGGTTATATGCTAGAGTGACAGCAATAAAGCTAGAGAGAAAGTACTATAGAGAACCAGGTATTTGGTAATCATTCTCACTAGGGAAAAGAAGTGTTAAATCTATGATGCATATTTGGAAGCTACTTGAATTCAAGGTATCGGAAGAAAAGAAAGTTGTTGTCTAGCTTACAAGTAGCTTATTCATGAACTGGTGAAACATAAAATCATTATTTTAAATAATGATTTTTTTGAAAACCGTTGAAAAAAATTTTAATCTTATTAAGTGCACAAGTGATTTAAATCTTAAACATAAAAATGTGATTTATCTTCCTGTCCAAGAATAGGCTTCAAAATTTGACCATGAAGGTCCTTCATAATTTACTCAGACATTCGCATAAAAGAGTAAGGATTCACTTTTATGTTAAGTCATTAAGAACAAAATTCTGTGTTTGTCGAACAAACTACACTATCTTTTCAATAAGCACAGTGTCGCCTGAATAAAACATGAACTCGACCTAGAAACAATATAACTAATTAATAAGGCAGTGTAATCCCACTTACTTTTTGTCATTCTGAAAATGTAAAACCTAGTAAGTTTGATGGATTTTTTAAAAAATAATTTTCAAACGAGTACTGGGCATGCATACTAAAATGCATTTTAATTTTTGGCTGACATGTGTTAGTGACTGTTTTCAAGTCACTAAGAATTGGATCACTTTTTTATTGGAAGAGTGGTCTATTTTTAAAAAGACATTTCTGGCATTAAATTACACAAGACTAAAAGCTATTTTAAGAATCATATTAAATATTTCAAAGTATATGTCCTTCAGTAACTGTAAAAAATACCAAACCAGGAAGTCATAGAAAATTCCAGTGTGAGCTCAAATATTTAATATTAAGATAACTGAGATCATCTGTTAAGGAATAACTTCAAAGAACTTTTAGTTCTTTAAAAAGCTGAAAGTATAGAAAGGGAGCCCTGCAGGATAATGCAGAAATGGAAGCTGAGACTTGAGAACTTCACCACGCAGACCTAAAGTAACTTAAGGAGTAAGTTAGAGATGTTACTCTGACCCTTGCCAGTATCTTCAAAGTAGTAATATAGCTCCTAACTTGAAAAACATATTTTTAAGTAGTACCCTTCTTCTCCAATAACCTAAAATCAAAACTAACACATAAAAATTCACATAAAGACGAATGGAGAAAAACTTATTTTTGAATGACAAAGAAAAAATAATGAGCAGTCATAATGGATAAGAGCATGGACTTGAATCAGGCAGTTGTGAGCTCCCGGCTATATACGGAAGCAGAAGGGGCTGCTTCTCACTAACCCCTTTAAACTCTGCATCAGTTTTTCTCAACAGTAAAAAGGATAATTACAGATACCCATTCTCACAGGATTGTTTTGAGGATCAAGAGAGACAATGCTTATAAGGTGCTAATATCAGGGCAAGCTTATAGTAACCACCTCAAATCAATAGCATTTTTATATAATAATCTTTTAATTTAAAAGATTATAAGAAAAATTCTTAATGCTCTTCTCATAAAAATATCTCTATCTGTACTCCCACTTGTGGGAGGAAAATAAAAAGCACAAACAAAAATACAAATGTTTTATTTTTCTCAAAGGTCATACTTTTACTTATATAATTTTAGGATCCCTGAAGACAAATATCAAATTAAAACCACATCCTACAGTTTTTAAGAGCAAGCCAATATTGTGTATGTGTTCAAACGTGAAAAAGTGGAAAACAGAAAATCCTGTGTTTTTAAATTTGGGGTCATTACTATGAATAAATATGCTATTATCCATTAAATAAAGTGCTAATAAGGCCAGTCACAAAATTTTATAACAAAGTATTTTAAAACTTAGAAATAAAAAGGAAAGCAGTTACCTTCGCACAATAAAGCATCCAAAGTTCAAAGAGTCTCTCTCTGGATGCCATTCTGGCTTTCACTCTGGCACTTTAATTTTTCCTCAAAAAAAAAAAAAAGTTCAAGACCACAGCATGTTCATTTTATTTTCCAAGTTTTTCAGCCGTTACAGTAAAGCTCAAAGCAGTAGGGAAAACAAAAAGAAGTGAAACAAATGGACTGTCTTCTGGTCAATAAAATTCAGTTTCAGCAGTTACTCCAACCTATCTTCATCAGTGGTCGTTGGGCAATTAGATAAATCTGTGAAAGAGAAAAATATGCAAGGATTTGCTTTAAAAAGAGGCCATGTTAATAATTATAGGTTTAACAGAACTAGAGATTTATCTACCTCACTTCCCACCAACAACCGGCTAAGCATTTACAACTGACTGGATTTCATAGAAACTTGTGTTTCAGGAAAACATCACAGCTAATACAATATATCACATCAACACAAAGTCAGAATCCTCTTGGGCAGAACTCAAAGATGAGTACTCATAACAAAAAATGTGTCCAATGATAATAAACAGAAAAAACGCCATTCCCATTCATACATTTTCTATAAACATAGAAAAAGTACACTTACTACTGACATATTTCAAAGACATAGAATGCCTCAGAATTTTCTAGTCTGCTTCTTCAATCTTGTTGGGAATGTTTGTCGTGTGTTGCCGGGCAGGGCGTGGGGAGGAGGGTGAAGAATTCCTAGTTTGTTTGTTTGGACAATCCTCAGAGAGTGAAAGTCGACCTGCCCACCTGGCCTCTCTACCTCTCCATCCATTAAGAAGAAAGGAGCACGCACGCACCAGCAAGGAAAACACCCCGAGAAAGCCTCCAAATGTTTTGGGGGACCTTTAAATTTCCTCCTCGCATCCCAGACAACCGAAATGGAGGCAAACTTAAGACGTGCCAAGCTGCCAAGTGAAGCTTTGGGGAGGGGGCAAAGCGAGCTTGGCGTCCCCCGACCCGCTATCCACGCCCTCCCGACCGCACCGGGACACACCCAGGTCAACCTCGCCCCCTCACGGCCGCCCCTCACTCCACGGCGCGTTCAACACCAAGCACCCGGAGCCCTCCCATTTCTACCACGCGGCCCCCTCTTCCCTACGACCCGCTCCCCATCACCGCGCTCACATTGGACGGTTGTGGTGCTGCCGCCGCCGCCGCCGCCGCCAGGCCGACATCTAACTTGCTTCCCTTGCCCCCTTCCCAAGCTCAAGCCCCGTATCACCCCGCAGCTAGGCAAGAGGGCGGGAGAGGGAGGCGGGGCGACGACAGCGCGAGGCGGGGCGCGGGGCTGGGAGGAGACAGGGGCGGGGCTGTCCTCACGGCTAACGATTCCGGCCTCTAAGGATTTCCCCGCCCCGGGGCAGTAGCTGCTCATTGGTCGCGAAGGCTGGGAAGGGGCGGGATGACCTGAAGCCGCGCCCCTGCATACCTGCGCAGTCTCAGTCGACCCGGCTCTTGACGACCCGGCGGCGGTGCGCGGCGGCGCCCGGCGGAGCGCTCCAGTCTTCCCCGAGGTGGGCGCGTAGGAGGACCTACGTGCTTACGTCCACCCACCGCCGCTGCTGCGGACTAGCACACAGCGTTCGGCTGATGGCGTCATTTCCGCGAGTCATCTGAGGGCAGGGAACTGTACCGTGATAACTAAAGGGGATTTCTTTCTTTCTTTTTTTTTTTGTAGAAAGGAGATTGGTTGTGGGAGTGTATAGTGAGAACAGACAGCTGCTCCCACACCCCTGCAAAAGTTCTTTCCCTTCATCGTGTTTGTGCCTCATACTTTCGCTGTCGCCGGGTGTCAAGTGCAAAGGGTTTATTTTACCACTATTCAAGGCTTCAAAAGGGTCTAGCTCTTACAAGAAAAGAAACAAAAGGAAAACGGCAGCATTTACTACCTATAGGCAACTTTGCCGGGGGCGGGGGATGTTTAAGGAGACGGGAAGACTCTTGAGATTAGTACACCTAAACATTTTTAAAACCTTTTATTGTGAAAAATGACAAGTATAGACAAAAGTAAACTAGTATAATGAAATCCTATATACCGTCGTTAATGTCCCATCTTGTTTCATCAATACCAGCAGCTGACAAACTGTAAAGAGTCAGAGAGTAAATATTTTAGGTTTTACAGACCATCCTGCTTGCAACTTAACAAAAATCAAAATAAGAATATTTTATGATGTGCGAAAACTAGATGAAATTCAAGTTCCAGTGTTGTAAAGTTTGTTGGAACCCAGCCATGCCCATTCCTTCACTATTAATAGCTGCTTTCACCCCAAGGTGGCAGAGTTGACACTAATTTAGTTGTTTGCAAATTAGGCCTTTTGAAGATCTCTTCTTGGTTCTCAAGCAGGCATGTGAAACTTAATATGTGAAAACTTCGGGGGAGGAAGCGGGAGAAATTACTCTTGCTGCAGCGTCCCCCATTTTAGTAATTAGCAGCTCCATTCTCCTGGCTGCTCAGTCTCAAGAACCTAGGAAGTATCCTTCCCAGCTTTCTTATATACCTCACATTCAATCTAATCCTTTCAGCTATATCTTCAAAATATATCTGGGCTCTAACCATTTTACTACACCACCACCACCACTACCACCCTGATGTGAGTTACCACTAAATCTTTTCTGGATTATTGCAATAGCCTTCCAATTTGTCTCCCTGCCTCTGCCTATGCACTTTCCCCACCTATGGATTCTTCTCAGCATAGCAACCAGAGTGATCTTTTAACGTAGAAATAAGATGTCACTCCTTTGCTAAAAACCGTCCATTGGTTTCCCATCCCACTTAAAAGGGCCAGCAAGGACCTGTGTTTTCCTCCCACACTTCCTTCTCTAACTTCTCCAGCTACAGTATTATTCTAGCCTTCCGTTATATCATCCAGACACATGGCTTCCTTGCTGCTCCTCAAATTCACATAGCACACTCCAGTCTCAGGGATTTTACATAAGCTGTCCCTCTACCTAGAGTGCTCTTTCCCCAAATGTCCACACACAATCTTCAAGTCTCTGCTCAAGGATCACCTTGTCCGTTGCTACAGTCTGAATGTTTGTGTCTTCCCGAAATTCGTATGTTGACATCCTACCCACCAAGGTGATACATAGTATTAGGAGGTGGGGCCTTTGGGAGGTACTTAGGTCATGAGGGAGGAGTGCTCATGAATGGGATTAGTGCTCTTATAAAACAGATTTCGCAGAGCTCCCTAACCCTTTATGCCATGTGAGGATACAGGAGAAGTCTGGGACCTGGAAGAGGGCATCCACCCAACCATGCTAGCACCCTAATCTTGGACTTCCAGCCTCCAGAGCTATGATAAAGAAATTTCTGATTATAAACTACCCAGTCTGTGGTATTATTATAGCAGTCCAGGCAAAGACATGTGTGAAGCATTCCCTGACATTTCTTTAGAAAGTAGCATCCCCTTTTCTCCCTTAATCTATTTTTCACTGTAGTATTTATCAGATGACATATAATTTATTTGTTTATTGTGAGCTTCCCTCTGGTAAAATTAAGCACCATGAAAACAGGGACTTTGCTCTCAGGTCTTTGTATAGTGTCTTATACACAGTAGGAGCTCAGTAAACATTTGCATACTGTATAATGAAATAAATTACCTATTTCACTACATGTCTCTGTACTTATTCCACCTCCAGTTTTCCTCCCACTAAAAACTGTTAGTTTACAGCATGTTGGATTCATCATAAGAATAGCACTATAAAACATAAATTTAATCAAGTTATAAATTATACTGAAAATAATAAACGTGTTGTTCATAAACAAAGGTGATAATATTGTTGAACATGTTGCTTCTCAAACTTTCAAGTGCATACAAATCACCTGGGGTTCTTAGTAAAATGCTGATTTTGATTGAGTAGGTCTGGGATTCAGTGGGTCAGCGGTCTGCCAAACTCCCAAGTGGCCCCAATGCTGCTGATCCACAGACCACACTTCTGAGCATTAAAGTTCCCACAGTTAACAGAAGATGTATTTTGCTTTGTTTTGGAAGCAGTACTGATGGATTTGCATCCATCTACTCTCATCTTCTTCACCTTCCCCTTGTGACTAGTGACACAGATATCAAAGAGATATAGTATGTGACACAAAACCAAGCCAATTGCTACATGTAGGTATTGAATCCTCAAGCATGACATTATTGCTGTTAGAGCCAGGAAGAGATAAATACATCATCTGGGATGACTCATGGCTGTTCCTACTGGGATACAAAGGATGGTAGTATTTTGTTTTAGGGTCTGCATCATAGGGACAGTCCTCAGCTTTGCCACCAGTAAGAAGACTCCAGGGCACTGACTTCCCCTAGTTAACTCACAAAGGACTAATATATGTAACCTGTGTGGCAGTTCCCTCCTTTCTGTCCTATAGGTCTCTAGCTATGAACTGAAGAAGAGAAAGTCAAGGAACATATTGTCTCTGAGGAATCTGCTGGTTGATTCTCTTTTCCATCTAATAATTTCAATAATGGGATAGGTTGGTACCCATCAAACTTCTGTGAACGAGGATTATCCAAGTCTAATTTCTCCTTTCCCTTTTCCCTCAGACAAAATACACACTGAATTGCAGTGGAGGATTAAGCAGTTCTTTTGCTGAAGGTTTCAAGTCTCCCAAAGATAGAGTCAGGGGGACATCAGGAGTTATGTCTTTTTTTAGTTAATTCCTTTCCTTATACCACATAGAAGGAAACAAGCACAGTTACTCTCTGCATAGACTTAAATAAGATGTGTCTCCTGGGCAATCCCCAGTTCCCTTAGCTCTCTCAATTCTCGGTTTTCTAGGCACCCTATCTTTAAGCTGTTCCTCTCCAATGTCCCCATTATCCTCACACTGTAAGTGTGGGATCCAGGCCCCTCTTGAGTCTGTTAAATTCTGCTGCATATAGATGCCAACGGTCTTCCTCTGCTGAGGCTTCTGAAGGCTCCCAGGAGTGGGGAAAAGCTTTTTTGTCAGTGGGTCCTTCAACAACACTAGGTGTCCCTCCTCCAGTGTCTTTCTAGCTACCTTTCTCCTAACAAACCTCAGGTGAATACATTTTCTTAATAAGACTGTTACTCAGCAGCCTTCTTAAATAATATGGCCTTGTTATCCAAAATCATGTTTCTGACCAACTTTTCATGGTAAAAGGCATACTCAAGAACTGAAATAGCCCTGCCTAAATCCACTAGATGCTTCTGTGCTCAAATAGTTTTGAATCTGATGGCAGAGTTAGGAATTTCAGTTCCCCTCACCAGATATAGCCTTGGAATGTTACTAAATTAATTAACAATGAAAATTACATCTGCCAAGATAACTGGAATATTCATGTCTCTCAGGGCATTATTTTGCCATAAAAAGAATACATAAGGAGTATAATCTCAGGATTGCTTTTTTTATCTTGATTCAGAGCAAGTTAAATTAATTAACTGGATGGGTAGTGACATCTTGTATAATAACCTGCATGCAATCATTCCCACGATGGGCAACCTGCCAAATGAAGCAGATACTTAATTGTGCTAGAGAGAACAAAGTTTTCCCTTGGACAGGGTTGGAGGCACATGGACAAACTTCTGCTTTTCAATCTCCCCTTTCATAAATTCTGTCCTGTCCATTTCCCTTCTATCCATACCTTTTCAGTTAGCATGGCTAGAGGCTTTTCGAGTTTATTGATCTTTTCCAAAAAAATAGCTTTTGGTTTTGTTGATTTTCAATATTGAAATATTGAATATTCAATATTCTTGCTCTTCTTTTTCTAGTTTCCTAAGGTGGAAGTTTAGATGACTGATTTTAGATCTTTCTTCTTTTCCAATATACGCATTCAATGCTGTAAATTTCCCTCTAAGCACTCCATTCGCTGCATCTCACAAGTTTCAACAAGTTGTATTTTCATTTTCATTTAGTCCAAAATGTTTTACTTTCTCATGAGATTACCTCTTTGACCATGAGTTATTTGGAAGTGTGTTGTTTAATCTCCAAATATTTCGGGATTTTTTCGAGCTATCTTTCCGTTACTGATTTCTAGTTTAATTCCACTGTGGTCTGACAGCAGACACTGTATAATTTCTAGTCTTTTAAATTTGTTAAGGTGTGTTTTAGAGCCGAGAATGTGGTCTATCTTGGTGAATGGTCCATGTGAGCTTGAGAATGTGTATTCTGCTATTGTTGATGAAGACACATGGATGTCAACTATATCCAGTATGATTGATGGTGCTGTTGAGTTCAACTATGTCTTTACATCTGCCCTGGATCTATTTCTGATATA